TATAGGTATTATAATATATCCTAGACTGACAAATCATCTCCGTTCAGAATCGTTTTTCGTATACAATGATACCTATCATTGCATTCAAATTTAACTCGTCCATTTGTATTCTCCCTAAGATTTGGTCATTGAAACTTGGCTATATTAAAAAGTATTATTCCAGCAAGTCTATTCTCAGTCATTCCGTTTCTTAATCAAGTATTTAATTTAATAAACAACAACTAAACCATCAGTTGAAATAAGCTATGTGTAAAATAATTAACTCAAAACATCTATTCTAAATATACTTTAAATATAAGTACTTTTATTCTAAAACTTAACACAGCTAAAATATCTACCTGCAATAAGTTGAGAAATYTCTGCAGTTGCAAAGTTAACTAAAAAAAATTATATAAGTATAATTTTTTGGTAGATATTATTATCAGCTCATTATTTAGATTATTTGTAACTTGTTAAATTAAAATGTATAAACATAGTCCATGTCTATAATAATCTTCAGGACAACAAAACTTATTTAAATTTCAAAAAMAAAATCATGGTGTTCACATCCATCTAGTTTATGCAATAATGTGTGCACTGTGTAGCAAGACATTTTAGAATTCATTTACAATATTCCAGAGAAGAGATTTATGTAAAGTAGCCATCCATTAGTGGAACTTCATAACATGTTAAAGTGGGGATAGCCATTAAGTAGAATTTTGTCATTGAARTGCAAAACACCATATGATGCTGAGTGAGCAAGAGAGATCCTCCCAGAGAATTATCTAAATTTCGTACTCATTCTGTATTGTAAAATTTTAAATCTCTATATATATATATTATTAAATTTAAAAACYGGGGGTCTGAGGAAATCTTGGAATTTATATTATATTATCTTTATTAATAGTTAATGCATCTGATTGTAATTGATTGTAATTTAATTTGAATAACATATTTCTGAAGCAATTAATTTATAAGTATATTAAATTGAAGATTATACCCAAATGTATCCCTTTCTGGTAAACACAAAATACACATTTGTGTTTAGCAGAACCAATTTTGTGAAGTAATCTTTAATATTAGACTGATATTAACATAATATCTCAAACCTAAAAGTAAGAACATTATATGCGTGTTTGTGTGTAGTTTTTTACAATATTTTAATTTGTAAGTGAGCTATGAACATTTCTATACCWATATATTGTAATATTTTACTTCGTCCTAACTTGGTCAACAATTTTAATATTATAAAACTTGTATAAGCATTAAATACTAATAATGTTGGTATCTTTAAGTTTAATAACTAAATCAACTCTAATATTAAAGTTAACAGCACAAAATTGATCTTGATATTTTGTGACATTGTATTTTTTACAGATTTATGTTGACTACATTTAGCAAGGATCCAAATTATTGGGATACTTTAGCTACAAATGAACTGTTGAGTAAATCTAACAACACAGAAAAATTTAAAATAATGTAAGAACTTATTATAAATTATTAATACGTAATTAATTTTTATTCATGTGTGTATATTTTTTTAGGAAATGCCTTGATAGATATAATACTGCGCTTACAGTACTTGATACAGATGAGATGTGGGACAAATATTTGACCACCATTTTAGAAGTTACATCTGATACACAAAAAACAGAAATTTATAAAAGAAATTTACTCAGACAATCTATGTTTAACGCTCACAAGAAAAATAAATTGAAACCAAAACATTATATTAAATGGGTAAGAAATTTTAAGCATGTTTTTATTGATGTAACTTTTCATTTTTCTTAGTATTATTTTCACCTTTATTATTTAGATAAATAAGTCAAAAAGTTCCATGACCAACGAAATTTTGGAATTGGCCAATGAAATATATCCAAATGACTTAAGTATTATTGAAATTAATATTAAAAATAAATTGAACGCTTCAGATGAACTAAAAGCTTACGATTTATTTATACACAACGCCAATAAAGTTTCTCCCAGTATTTGGCTTACAGTAGTTGATTATTTTTTAAATAAACCACAGATTAGTGAGATTTTCAATATGATATTTGGAGATAAAGCTGTTTGTACTAATGAAGTCAAACAAAAACTTGGAAATGAGTATTTGCTGTGGTTAAGCCAAAACAAGTCGTTGAATGATGCTCGAAATGCTTACTACAAATTAATCACAAACAGCAGTTGTGATGCAAGTCTATGCAAGACTTTAGTAAATTTGGAAACTGAGCAACAACAAATAGACTTCAGCAARATTAGGCAGCATTTTACACTAGCATGCATGCAGTTTGGTAAAACCAATATTGGTTAGTTAACATTATCTAGTTATTTTAATTGTATTATTGTTATTATATTTGAAAAAAATGCATTTTTTATGTTTAGATTTGTGGATGGAACGAATTTACTTTGAGCTACAATATGGGTCACCAAAACTTGTTTCTAATACATATCATCAAGCGTTAACAACTTTGAATAATGAGGAGGCTGATAAATTTGTTGAACAATATACATCAAAGGCTTCTATATTTAATAAAATTAATAAAATATAATACATCAATTATAGATTATATAAGATACAAAAATAGGGTTTGTACTGTTTGTAGACAACTCATTAAAACTTATTTTTCATAAACGTTGATATGGGACTCTCTTATAAATTCCATCATTTTCAGTTTTTATTCCAGCAAATTTTTTTTTAAATAACTGTATGCGCCATCTGAAATTTAATTTACATTTAAACTATTGACCAATTTAAGACCTTAATATTTTTATTGATATTTTATCACCTGTTAAATATATAAGCACAGCACCAAGTGCCAATACATAAACTTGATATAAGTATTATACAAATAAAAATGATTGTATTTKGTGATTTATTTTTGAACAGTATTTTTATGATAGGGTCTTGCATTATTTGGGTCCATCTGGTTGATAGTCCAATCACTTAAAATTTTAAATAATGGTATCTATATAAAGATAGATTATTAATATAAAACAGATTTAACATACCTTTAATTTCCATTACATTAGTGATCCAAGTGCTATTCATTTCAGTGCTCTTGACAATACATTTCCAAATGCCTTGAAAATGAATATTTTCTATTGTTATTGTATCTACATCAATCTATAAAATCCACCAAAATGAATTTAATTTTTATGTTGTGCTTGAATTACCACAATGATTCTATACCGACGCTAGGGAATTAATTCCATAATTTTTGATCACAAAACTATCATTTACAAGCCATTCTTGAGACAAACCATTAAATAAATAGCTCAGTGTTGCTGCTTTGCATTGCACTCTAACCACATCTCCAATGTATACATCTATTGGCTTGTCATTTATAGCCACAGCAAACAGTTTCAACACAATTCTTTTAGATTTAGGTGGCTGTGCCACAAATGCATATACTCCTGAATCACGAGTTGTACACGAACTTATGACTGAAATGCACRTACAAAATATCATTTTACTGTAGGTATAAATAKATATTTCTAACGCCTTAAATTTCAATTTCGTGTCACATTAATTTTAACTTGCACTCTGTGACATAGTTGTTTAGATTAATTGGTAAAATCTCAGACTTTTTTGAAACAAAACAATATTAATATTAATACTTGGTTACATAAAAAAAAAACCTACCATAAGCTGGTTGCTGGTTTCTAATTACTAATGAAATATTTTTAGTTTTTTCTACTAACAAATTTAATTATTTTATCAGTATTAACTAAATGTTATTTTTATATACCTATTCTTTAAGAAACGTATTTATTTTTCTTTTAGAATTTGTACCAAAGCATATCCACATGTTATCTCTTATCGAGGTGTACGCATGTACATTGAATTGCCTACTTGGTCAAATTTAGGAATTGAACTAATGTATTCGAAAATTCAAAATTGTATGATGTGCAACACACGCGTATTGCTATTCAGTCAAGTATTCCAGTAATTACATATTTGAATATTTTATGCTAATGAAATCTTATAAAACACAACTCAATGTCATTAATAACCTAAYCATCAATGGTGGTGAATAAAATAAAATTTGATGAATGGCGTCAACGTGTAACTAGAAAAATAAAATAACTGAGGTGACTCATCTAGGAGCTATCAGTGGTAATATAATGATTATGTCATGGGGAGGTTGAAAGATATTTTAACATACACTGTTTGATTATTAAAAATGTAGCTTATAAATATGTCCATGTCCTCTCACCGTTTGACTACCACTGTTGCTAATTTACGAGCCCCACAACTCACGCTCACCGTGATTTATCATAAATTTTACTTTACCCAAAGTGCATCTGTCCTCGTCGTCTGCGACAGTCGACGTTACGGCCTTACCGTTTCGCAACCAATAAAACCGGGCGCTCGGCGAATCAGCCCGAACAGCGTCCACAGTCGACCGGTCGCAAATCACTGTCAACCGGTCGCCGACAGTGGCCACCGCGTTATGCGTTCGTCCGGCCAGTAACCGTCGTACTGCGGTCGCCGTCTTTTCTGACACCTGTCCGCACTCGTGTTGGTTGCACGCGCCGACCACCGTGGCCGGCCCGGAGCATGGTCTGCCCGCCACGTTTGGCCTAGGACTGTCGCACCGCCTGCTCCGCACTCCCGTCCCGCCGCCACAAGTTTTCGTGCACCGCTCCCACTCGCCCCAACAGCTCCAAGCCCCGTCTCTAGGCGGCCCGTYCACGTCCGGCAGCTGCCTCCACGGCTCGTCGCAGTTCACCGTCCACTCAGTCCGGCCAACGCCCCGGTTGGCCACCGAAAAATAACGGACCAGCAGCGGCCGCTCCGAGTCCACAGTCCAATGCCACCCACGAACACCGCCATAGTTCATTTTCAACATGCTTTCATTCCAACTGTATAATAATTTATTTAGTCAAATATTGAAATATAATGTGTATATATTGGTATATATAATGTAGTTACTAGTTATCATTAAGTTATATTCATTGATGTATTCGTAATTTTTTTCTAGGGTATACGCTCAGGCCATAGACGTATATTGAGGGGAGAGGGGTGGGAAGCTTAATCCTTTCTCTCAAAAAAAAAAATTTCTCACCAAACCTAAAATTAACTTATGGTGGGTCGTGGGGTATACCACCGCGTCTTTATATTTAAATTGATTTATCTACCCTCCCCCCCCCAAAAAAAAAAGGTTATTAGACATATTTACGCCATACAATATAGGATAAGGTGGAGTTAGAACTTACTAGTTACTTTTTATCACATAATTTCGTTCACGGTTGTATGTATGCGGTAAAAAAAATTTATTTTATACATTTTTTCTAACGATTATAACTATAAGACAATTGGCAGGTAATTCAATAAAAATTGTTTGAAGGTATACCCGCGTATACCCTCCAATACACCACTCAACCACTGGTTATATTTGAAGGTAATTTGTTGATATTGTGAACGTTGTATACTGTCGTTATATTTGTCTGCAGTTCTTAAAATGAGGAGGGAAGGGCTAGTGCCTAGTGAATAACATAATATGAATTGCGTAAGTATCAAAAATGTACGATTCACATTGTAACCTATAATATTATTCAAACTTGGTTCACTCGAAATCGTTAATATACATCGAACTTTTTCCCGGTTCCTAGAATCGCTTGTAACAGTGTTACCTTGAGGTACCTAACACGGATTATCGAATGAATCGAACTTTTTGGTCGTACTGCATTGTTATAATTACCTWCATAATATGTCTATGTTTTAGCCAAGACGTAGTTAGGTAAATATCCGAAAATGTAAAACAAAAATAATAAATCTTATTTCGTCTCGACCTACATGTAGAGATTGCAAGCGATTGAAGATAACTAGATTGAGTGGGTCGTGCAAGATCGTTTTCACACTCTGCAGCACTGAAATTATTTTAGGGAACAGTATTTAACCACTCGGCAAAATGCATAGTGTAGTGCCRAACCAAACCTCAAAAGGATTCTTGTCCATTTATCGGCCGTCAAGATTGCACCGGTTTTAGACTCGTACTCTCCTAGTGATTTCTTSGTCTGCTTCCCTTCGTGCCACAACACCACCCGACCACCATCGATCTCCAGCACCAGCCGTTCGCTAAGCACCCGACTCATTAACGCGATACATGTGACACCTGCCACAATCAATATGACTTATAACCACGTGTTATGATTACTGTAAAGCCAAAGTGTGGTCTATTATGTATTGAGGTGTATTTAGTGGTGAGCTCAACGTTCGTCAACGACGTCAACTCCCCCTCCCTTCATTCAATTAGCTTTCCCAAAAATCAAAATATAATTAACTTATATTTTCTATTCATAAATGATTATAAGTATTAAAGACAGAGATAAAGTAAACTGTAGAGATGTCAAATTTCTTTTTATAGCTATGTGCTTGCGTGTTAATTACAAAATATTCTAAAATTATTGTTTTCAATTAGCGAATCACTATAAAGTTAAAATAATTTTTAAAAAAAAAATCAACACCTCGTCTCAAAATAGCCAATTTACATATTAATATATTATATTTCATCATTTCGATGACGAACGAAATAAAACGAAATTGAAATCAAACCTAATATACTTATTAATTACCTGTATGTTTCATACGGAAAACGATTTCGGGCTTGGCATTTGTCAGACTCATGTTCGACCGAACGTTTATCGGCAAATAAACAGAAAAATTCTGCGACTCGGAACTATGAATGAGACAATCTATGACAACATTTCATGATAATTAATAATTGTGTACTGCAGGTCTTATGGGTGGGGTGAGCTGGGCGACCGACTATAAGGGACCGATTYATATCTTTCAGAGTTCAGATATCAGTTTTTTAATAATAGGTTGTTTTTGTAATTCAAATACTTAACCTGAACTTAAGGGCGCGTCATTAAAGTATAATAAAGTATAATGCCATCATACAAATCCAAATAACAATATTCAAACAGATTTTTAAAATTATAATAATAATTGTATGATACATAATAATAATAATATTATGTTTAAATTATTCTGTTATACTCACCTAAATGAAACAATTAACTTTTTTTTAAAATTTTTTTATTATTTAATATTGCAGCCACCCTCCCGCTTCAGCTAATACCAAATATTAGGCAGGTGTGGCTTTAGGAGAGTTCCCTAGAGGCTGCGCCCWCTCCTAAACTCGTATTCCTAAAAAAATTGTACATTGCCAAAAACAAAATTATTTAAAAAAAAACATATAACCCATAATACCGAAAGTTTTCTGATAATTATGACTTCCCCTTCCGACCTGCAGTCTCTGAAGCGGTGCCACTGGTATTAGGATTCTAGTGACTTTCAAGRTAATTTGTTTAAAAACACTTTTCTCTAATTTTTACACATTAGACGTTTTGGTAAAATACTAAATCTGTAGTAGGTATGTATATAATGTACCTTCCTCGGTTGGAAATCGAGTGGCCACGTAACCACTGTTGGTTATTGTGGATAGTCCTACGAACGCGATACGTCCACCGCCGCCGTCGGTACTGTTACCAAGTGCCCAACTGAATATCTGTCCGCCGTCAGCGGAGCTCATCGTCACGGTCGGAGCAGCCGTGGTATGGCCGACATCACCACGGTTTTCGTGCCCAAACCGAATTAAAAACTCCGTCCACCGGCTGGCCATCAACAGATGTGGGTAAACGATTTCGACGTCGGCGGCCGCCGTGATGGTCGACTGTGACTTTTCAGGACCGTCCCGAACCACCGACCGGTACAACTTGATCTTTTCGTCGACGTCCGCGCCCACTTGAACCACATCGTAGAACGACGGGTGGCCGGCGCGCCGGAAGTACAGCGACACACCCTCGTAGACGCCCGGCGTCCACCGCTTGAGCTGGATTCTTAGGCCTGACTGGCCCCTCCAATCGGGCAACACGTGCATCCAGTGGACRCCGCCGCCGCCGACCAGCAACGTGTCGAAGTCGCCGCCGTCGTCCGAACACCCGGGTACGTCGCACGAGTCCGTTTTCGCGGGGCCGCTGACGTGACACCAAGCGCCCGTCGGCTCTCTGGTCGGGTTCCGGCAGTAGTTGGATGCCGCCGACACCGATTTGTCTGGGAACGCGTAACCAACACCGGTGTGCAACGACTGTGGCAACAAGAATGGTCACCGAGAAGGCCGGTAAACGTTAGTTATACGCTATAGTAACCATGGGTTACCAGGTAACCGTTTCCTAATCTAGCGCTATAACCTAAATCCTTAATCTGAGTCGTTTTCAGTGGCGTCCGCAGGGGGATATATCTCCCATGGGCTTTTTTTTGGTCTTCAAATATGACTGAATTTTGGATCTCTAAATTTTTTTTCGTATAATAATAAAGATTGAAAATAATACATTTTTATTTATGACATCCCCCTCCCCATATACCAAATTYCACGCCATTGGTCGTATGTGTATAATCTATAATATGGACTCAAATCGGGGTGGTTATAAGATTCCACTTCAACATTTATAGGAATAATATTGCATTAGCTAGATATAACCATTTTTTGTTGTGAATATAATATTACTTGAAAACGAAAATATGAAAATCGAAAATAATCACATTTAACCGCGATCCTTAATCCGGATTCACAGATACGTCGTGTGTCGTGTGGATCAAATTTTATAGTGATTACAGGAGATTAGGTACTTTTTAGGAATCATATGTATAGTAACCAACTCGGTTAGGTTAGGAAAGGTTGCAATAATTGAATGCAGCTCAACTCTTAAACCAATATGGTCACCAGAAGAGGCGTATTTAGGCACAGGCCATAATAGGCCCGGGCCTAGAGCGGCAACATTGGAGGGCGGCAAATTTCAACAATTTTTTTTTACAAAATTAGAAAAATTATTTTTCATTTGATGAAATCAAACTCAACTAATTTTTGTTCGCTCAAAATTAATCATATATCTACATATATCTCAATGTATCTTTTTAATATAATATTATGATATAATAAATTGTATATTTAAATACGTTTTAGAAATAATTGTAGGAAGGATGAAGAGGGAGGAAGGCGGCGAATTGGAAAGTGCCTAGAGGCGGAGAAACCTAAACTAAATAACCTAACCTAAATACGCCACTGGTCACCAGTTATAACCATATCGATACCACGCCCTCGCACGACACGACATACGACATAGCTGTGAATCCGACTTGATTAGCGTAATTCAAATAAATATTATTATATAAAGTATACATTAAGATAGTATAAGTTACCCATTTCAAGCAAGTACGGTTGGAAATGGTCTGATTGAGCTTGCCTACGTAGTCTGTAGCGATTCCGGTCACGCTGCATTCTGTAAATACCCATAATAATGCGTTAACTATATATAATACATTATGTTATATTACGAAGAATATTATGCTGCTCTGATCAACAACCAGATCTAGGTCACGGAAGTCGTGATGGCAATACGTACCAACTGTTATATTATATTATTTTTCTCTCTAATAATCCCAAAAATATCACACTAACAATATATATTATGCAAAAACACATTGTAGGTACTGTATATAATATTATTACCCGATCAATATATTATGATCATCCTTACACAGGATGACCAAGCGTAGGTATAACAAGTAGTTATTTTATTTACCAATGCACTAGTTTAACTATTGTTTAATCAGATTTTATTTTTATTTTTAATTCCGATTATAGATCGTTGTATATGACATTCGTACATATTGGACATATTGTATTAGATTTGAAGTGTATTGTTTTCAGAAACATTTTTGGGTGAGTATGCCTATTGGGACGCGGATATTACATATAGTATAGATATTTATTATATAGATAATATATATAATATATATATGGATTTCTGTCTGTCATTTATGCATTCCTAAACGGCTGGATTGATTGCGATGAAATTTGGTACAGGAATATATTAGACCTATACGCAAAAAATAGGATTAATCTCTGTATCAATTTTATCACAATCGATATTGAAATTTTGACAATTTTACTTCTCCACCAGCACATAAAGCACATACCTGGTGCCTTATTCTTAAATTTGAATGTTCAACAATACATATACATGCATAATTTATCCATTTTTCCAATAACCATCACGCTTGGATGAATGCTGTAATTATAATTATACCAAATTTCGTCGCAATCRGTCCAGTAATTGGAATGGCAATGCATGAAGAACAAACAGACAGAGGTAACCCGATAGTATTTTGCTTGATAACTACATACGTATTTACTAATCACTCACTTGTATTTCGACACTTCCGGACGCCACACCATCGTTTTTCGACCGCCGAGTTCTTTCGACCACCGATGGCCACGTAACAATACGGTCCGTTCGGATCTTTAGTCGGATTCCGACAATAGTTTTTGGCTTTCGCGTAACTTTGATCTATCAATGCACTCTCCTTAACCAACTTAACAACAGAAACAGCGTTTTTATTTTTAATAAAAATTTGTAAAATATGTTAAAATGTTACTTATTATAATGTATCATATACTGACCCATTTTAATCAAAACAAATTTCAAACTTACTGTGCGCGTTGACGAAACGTTCCAAGGGACGCAAGGATCTCCGTCTCCGGTGATCCACTGAGATCCGCGATAGTTTTCACCAGATTCTGATATCACGCACTCGGGCAATGCCGCCTCGGGAAGCGGATAGACTGTAACAAACGAAATATTCAATATTTAATTTTGATTTCTTTTTTCTTGTAAGTTTTGTGGTGAACATTTTTAAAATTTGACGAGCTTTTTAGCTCGTACCTTTGATATTTATCATTCCTACAGCAGATTCACAAATACATAATATAGATATTAAAAAGAGTATTTCGCATTTTTAGTGGTTATTACTATACCTACCTAAGTGCCTAATAACGGTTACCCAATCTAATACAACGACAATTGAATGTAAGAGAATCCTTATTGATTAACACTGAAATGTATAACATATTATGTACACTGTACAGTTTAAATTACTCATTGAATTTGAAGTCTGTGCAAAAAAGTACACTGCGTACAACAATAGAATGTGTTGTAATAAAATGCATATCTTATGAATTTTTTGTTGAAATGTTTAAAGAATCTATACCCGTTGTGGTATGCACACTATTATTTTAATTTTTTATCATTCATTCATAAGATCTCGACAATATTTAATCTTTAAGCGTCTCGAAGGATAATAACGATCAATTTTTAATAAATGAATTGGAATGTGACAAAGTTATGTGTACTATCGATCATTCAATTAAAAATATTGTATATTGCGAGTTTTTGTGTGATTCCAACTAAATATCAAAGAATATAAAAATGTTTATAAGGCCGCTAGCGGTGTGTATACATTCTGGGCCACTGCAATACAGCATCCAGTGGGCGACGGTTTTTGATCCGATGGCAAACCAATGGAATAACCTCAATTTGAAATCCGTTATATTTAAYATTATCGTCGGATTCGTTTTGCGTTCGTTTGTAACTTGTATTCGTAATGTTTTGTCCGCGATTCTAAAAACAAAATCTTATACTTTACACATAATACGTATAACAGATATAGATTTAATTGCTTAAAGCTGTATACGAAATACGAGTGTATATGGTTTAAGTATCACTAATGTTTCTAAATGATTCAGTTTTATGTCAATGCAATAAAAAATAAAAAATACTATAAATCAAATACATTATTTTGTATTGATGCCATTTCCAATAAGATATTAYGTCAGTTTCGTACGACTGATTAAAAATCATTTGTTCTTCACTATTTGGTTTTTCTACATAAATAATTTTTATCTGTTGGACAGGCTGAGCTRTAAAATATATCTGAGATAAAAAAATTAAAATTAAAATTGTTAAATATCTTATATTCTTATATTTATTTTGTAATTATAGCAGGTACTATGTATATAAATATATATATATATACGAAATCTACTATAAAGTATATAAATATTAAATACTTAACATAGAACAGCAAACGATTAACGACAGTTTATTTCGAAATAGCAACATAAGAATCGTTTAATTTTTTTAAATATACTTAATAAGTAATATATGTATAATAAATAATTATTTATAAATATTTATAAAAATTATGGTGAGCATAAGAATTTTATACAGCATTACATATAAACACTCAAATTTCTTTTTAATTTAATTCTAAAAAAAAAATAGTGATTTATATACGTAATTTTATTGCGGAAAGTGAAAAAAATGATTCTAAAGTTGAGTTTATACTTAAGTTCTACCTTTCAATAATTTTTATTATTATTAATCGGAACTAACAATTAGACGCGGCGTTTGTTTTGTTGGTGCGGTGAAATACGTGACAGACGCCGAAATCACAGCTCGGACGGAAAACGACAATTCGGATGTCGAAACGATGGTCTTCTTCAACGGGAATATCCTGTAAACATCTTGGCTATTGGTCACATGCTCTTCCTGTCCTACGAAACCAAAACGACGATACACTCCACATCAATATGCATCGCGCATGCAGTGTGCAGCGTTTGGAGAATGCATTTCAGTTAAATGTAATATTATGTTTTACCGCTTGAAGGGAAGCAACACTTTAAATGAGGAATAAAAAAAGGCATATCAAATATGATAGATCGTTCAATTGGGGTGGCCTAGTCATTTAACGTCTATACTAAAAACTATTTGAAAAATATATATGTACACATATTATGTAAATATTTACACAATATCTATTTTAAATAATATCTGATACGATATATTTGAGAAAAATTATAATCTGTAATGATTTTTTTTAATTAACTGAGGCGAAGGATCGTATACTATGAGATATTTACCGGCCGTTTGCAAGTCACAGTGGGCAAATCGTATGGCCACCAAAGCGGCTGCCGAGTGGCTACCTGTGAAGCTCAAATATGCCACCGGTGACAGTGTAGTGTTCAGCTCGAGGTTGGACACCTCTCTGGTAGCACCTGGATTCCCAGCCGTTAGCACGACGAAACCGTTCCGCCACGACACGTCCAGGCGAACGACTTGTGCCGTTCCGGACCTGGCGAACACGTCCACCGGAATCGGCAATTCGAAACCGTCGACAGACGAACCGGTCGGGTATGCGGTTAGCGATATCCGGAACAGAGGTTGGACTGTTCGGTCCACCACTGGGTCCCAAGTCTTGAGTTCAAAACTAACGAGACCGCCACCGTCGTCGTCGTTGTCACCATTAGAGGTCGGTATCGCGGTGTAATGTCCGTGAGCCGACGTCCCGCCGCCGTTAATCAACGTCCAGTGGCAAACTCCGTCATCGCAACCGGAAGTATCGCAATAGTCCGAGACGATGGCACCATCCACGAACGTATAACACCACGGGCCACCCGGGTCGCCGGTCGGGTTCCGGCACCGGTTTCCGGCCGCCGATCGTCCACCGTCCGGGAACTTTGAATCAGCTGCGGGCGAGTCCTGCACGTCCGACCATTTGGTACACACATAACCGGACTTGGTCACGTTTACGTTACCGCCGTACTCCACTCCCGGACCAGTCATTCGGCACTCTATATTATATTTTTATTTATTATTTTTATATTATTTTGTAGAACACATCACATATTCAAAACCTGAAAAAGTGCTAGAGTAAAACGTCAAAAAAATATAATTATCTGTATAACTTAATTATAATTTTTACATTCCGCTAATATTTTTTTGTTTAAGAAACACTGAAAATATTCAGAAACTAAATCAGTTTGCGTTGAATTTTTATTTTAACTGCAATTAAATCATATAGACCACGTAGATTAAGCTTGACGTTTTTTTCCATAAAAATTATAATATATAAAACATAAAATCGTAAAATGATATCATCGCATATTACTTTTTACATAACACAAAGGCACGGCACATAATTCCACCGGACTGTTCTCATTGTAAGTGTAACACCAGAGATCATCTCGGGTTCCGTTAGGGTTGCGACAAAAATTCTTGGCCAACACCCTAGACCCGTCAGCGAAATTTGAATCAGGCTCAGTCTACGATGAACATCGATCCGTTATCATATATTTAAACCAAGCATATAATAATAACTAATTAATAATAATTAAATAACTATAATGCATGTTAATTGCAGAGATTATAATTATATAGGCATCAGGGTTGATCAGTATAGGTTGTCATGTAGTGTAATAATAACTAGCCACTAAATATCAAAGTTAAGTAACCATRTTATATTTGTAACTACAGTCGACTCTCAATAATTCAAACCTTTGGTAATTCGAATAAAAACAATACATTTAAATACACTCAGTAATCCGAAATTAAATTTTGGAAAAACTAGACCCTAACACGTTACAATTCGAAGTATCATCCGTCCGATCCTCGATAATTCGAAGTATATTCACTAWATGTAAAAAATTATGAAAAAATGAACTCGAATTCGATGAAACA